AGTTATATACATTTTTTAATTGATTTTATAAAGCATCAACACAATTTTAACAACAGCTTTGCATTTTATATGAAAAAGATTTACATATACACACATGTATATTTAATGCTAAATATATATTATCTTTATTGTTCTTCAATATTTATTGATAATAATAAAATTATTGAACAAATATTAGTTTATATAAATAATTTTATTAGAAACAATGAGGTTTATGAGGTGAGAACATCATGTTTTTTTCAATAAGTAGAACATGAGTAGAATTTTCTACTTGAATCTTACCGTTTGTATCTAATGATAAGATACTTTGGAAACAGGTGAGATTACTTTGTAATATTCTTCAATAAAAACAGAGAACATAGGAGTTGTCAGTTTTATAAATAATAACCGATAAATCAATGGTATTGGCAGAAGGCATCAAAGAAAGAAGCAGGATAATAGGATAAATTGATTATTCAAACACAAACTAAGTACTGATATGTACTAGTTATATAAATAATGAACTCCTTACATAATGATCCCGCATAATTTGTATAATGATAGTCTTATGCGAATTAAAAAGATGATCTAATGCACGGCCTACATGACAATTTATTACAATCAAGGGCAATGAGTTAACTGGACAGAAGGAAACAGACGACAGTTTAAAAAGCAAAGTGCAGTTTAATAGGATAGCAGCACGTCCTTGGGGTATATTCGCTTTTATGACTGTGAATTAAAATCTTGAATTAAAACTGCTTAACCCACTTTCGATGGATTAACAAGTTTTATTGATTTCAATCAATCAACCATTCGATAGACCAGTGGATAGGAGCACCATAGAATGTACAGAAAGAAAACCAAGGATCTATTGTCGAAGGTGCTTCATGAAATACAAGAGGCAGGTGGTTGAATTATTTTTAATAAATCTGTTGTATTATTATTACCATAATATAATACAATTACTGTCACAATGAACAATCGGTATAATAACGTGTGATAACGCGTATACACACCGTTAAATTATCACCTAAGTTTACGATGAAAAATTAAAAAAACAGAAAAAAAAAAATAAAAGAACAGAAATAAAAAGGGCGAGAGTTAATTACGCTTAAATAAAGAGAACAGTCTTTCAAGATACAGCGACGTTACTGCGACGTTGCATACATGGTTCATTATTTCTTTTGTATCCGGCACAAAACGATCAACTTAACCCTAAATTGCGCTACGTGAGAAAGAAATACTGATGCCTAAGGATAATTCTCGCGAAAATGCCCCCCGAAATGCGACAACACGTTTCAACGAAGATAATTCTCGTGTGCCGATTACGAGACAATATATCGTGTCTTATAAATGTTATGTTATTCGTTAAACGCAAAACGTTTACCAAATCTACTAGTTTAATAGTTGTGAAGCAACGTTTCTTCTCGCGTGAATTACAGTTCCGTTTTGTAAAACCGCCGGCAGATATGATTCTTTATTTGTTCGTCACCTAACGATGTTAGGAGAATGTGTTGTCACTCCACACGTTTTGGTTATATCGAATATATTCCGAGTGCACATTGAAAAGTCTCTGCTCTGAATGTGAGTACTTCCGTCTTCGAGGTGCTCGATGAACAATTGCAGGCCGGTGTTACACATTAAAAACTCGAAACCATAACGATCATTACGATTCAATTGACGTTAAATATTTAACCAGTACCATTAATCGTCTTCTGATACATCGAACTTATACATTATGTTTGTTCGTTTCTTACACCCAAGTAAGATTAAAATCTAAATCCGAGGCTTAACTTAGTCAGTTGTCATTAATCGACAACTTTGTCCAATAGTTAGGGTAAGGTATTCAGAAACGTTCTCCCCAATATACATACATATTTCACTGCATAATTACGTTGTATTCACGTGGTCACAAATCAGTCGAATCCAACAAACTCGAACGTTAAAAATATCTCGTATTAAAACATTGTTTCACAATTGTTTGTCAGGCTGTCAAAAGTCTCGAGTCGAAAATGAAACGTTGTCAAGTGAAAGCAATAGCGAAAGAACCACGGGAAGTCCCATGCGCGATAACGGTATATATCCGATTCAACGCTCGAACTTTCTCTCTGTGATATATATGTATCCCGTATACGTTTACATCGTCGTTTCTCGAATACCTCTTTGCTACTTTACGACAATACGATTTTCCAACAAGTTCCTCGGAAGCGTGATCAAACGACCGATCGAAAAAAAAAAACGAAAGACGCGAGTCAAGTGTTGCTCTTATCGGTAACAGAGCGTACAATCTACGCGTGTGACACGAATCAAAGATAATCGTCGTCGTAGGATACATATCGTTGATAAATATACGCAGTGATATACGCGGTGCATCGATCTAAAAACTCCTCTTCGTCCAAGGATTAATAATCATTCAACGCCATCTAACGCTAATTCTCCGTAAAAGAACTACTCTTGTTGCGCTCCCTTTGCATCTCGCATGTACGGAAAAGCTTCGTAAAATTTGACTTCGTGCTCTCGACGATTCTTCCGTGTCCCGACGTGTGCATCGCACGTGTGTTGTGCTCAGCGATGTTCAACTCGGCCTCCGATACCTAATCTAACCGAAGTTGATCCGGCCCTCGATCGTCTCTTCTCTCCCGGTCTCTTCTTCCTCAGTCAATTCGCTTCTTTCTTTCGTGCCGATCCGCGCGGCACAGGATGTCGTAGCCCGGTGTGAGAAGTCCTTTAGTCCGCTGGATAGAAACGCAGGATCGCGCGACCCTGTATCTCGGAGTGGCACAGCTTGCGCACCACGTCGAGGACCTCCTCTGCGGGGTAAACAGTGTGCGGCGGTGGCTCGATCTCGCCGGAGGCCACCAGTTCGACCAACTCACGCAGTTGCTCCAAAGTGCCGGGCTCCACCGGCTTGATACTCTGCTGCCATTCCTCCGCCCGTCTGCTGAACTTCGGCAGCAATCGATCGGCCACTTCCTTGATCACGAACACCACTCCTCCCTTGCTCAGGCACTGCATGCTCCGGTGAAGGCTGCGCGACGTCGTCCCGAAATCGATCACCACGTCCACGTGACCTTGACACGCGTCCATCGTCCGCTCGATCAGCTGTTTCTCGTACAGATCCTCGCTCCATTGTACCACGTTCACCCTGTATCGAGAAAGCAGACTGTTGGTGAATAAATCGGATGGACTTCGCGGGGGACGCAGATGGACTCGGTTATTTAGCTATCTACTTTTCTTTCTAAACCTACTCTACAGTGTTACTGTGATATACTAACTTTTTTTTTCTTGTAAAAAACCTAACCTAAACCTAACCTACTCTACATATTACCAACTACGTAATGTACCAACTTTTTTTTTATAAACCTACTCTATTATATTACTGTAATATGCCATTACTTTTTTTTTGTAAACCTACTCTACGTATTACTATAATATGCTACACAATACTATATTATTTTTTTTGTAAACTTACTCTATGTATTACTGTGATCTACCAACTTTTTTTTGTAAACTTACTCTACATATTACTGTGATATATCAACTTTTTTTCATAAATCTACTCTACGTATTATTGTAATAAACCAACATTTTTTTATAAACCTACTCTACATATTACTATAATACGCTATAATGATACACTATATTTTACTATACTACATATTACTATAATATACTACATAATAATACTATAATATTACTTTTTTTGTAAACCTACTCTGCGTATTACTGTGATATACCAACTTTTTTTCATAAATCTATTCTACATATTACTGTGCACGTATTTTTTTTTTTTTTTTAATGAACTTGCAACATTTTATTTTTGCTTGATCCTTGATTCGGATTCTCCATCGATATTGAAGGAACAGATACTATTTCTACCAACAATGTGCTCAAAGCTGCACTACGTGCAAACGAAACAGAACAATGTGATAATTAGAAATTAGGATACGAGACGCGTTGACCTCTCGTTCCCAATTCTTTCATCGTCACGATCGCTATCCGATGTTCGCGGGGAAAAATACGCGGTAGTGACACGAGTGATATGAATTTATGCAACAGCATAAATCATGTACATGGGCAAAAGATGTATCTAAATGACTTTATCATTGGAGTTGAGAGCACGGTCAATTTGCTCGAGCAACAAACACGAACCAGATTCCGACAATAGAGATTGTCAGGCCGAGCATTGTCAGCTGCTTGGTTCAAAGATCAACGACGAATGATCTAACATGCATCTAACGGATTGAATGCAACGTGGCTTCGAGAGAAAGTCAATTGGCAAGTCGGTGGATCCCGGAATGAAATATTCCGTGTACACGTGATCACATTTTGTTTCTCGACAGATGAACTTATTGTCAGTGATAAATTTAGTAGTAAAAAGAATTGCGCGATGGGAGTTTTGAGGTTAAAATATTGTGAGGTTAAAATATCACATTGACCGTACCAGGAATATATCATTTCCCTCGGAGAGTTTCACAAAGAAGACATTGATTACCAATTATTAACATTCACAATTTCTACCGTCTAACATCAATAATCCCGAACGTACGGGTTTCGACTGACCGAAATAACTCACCGTTGGAATTCTTGCGCCATAGTCAGCCCATCGTCTTTCAACGAGGCAATCGTGATGGTGACCCTGTCCTTCATGTTGCTGAAGTGATAGGCCGCGATCCTGAGCGCCCAGAGTGCCAAACCGCCGGTACCAACGATCAAGATCTTGCAGACGCTCTTCTCGCCTCTCTGCTTCAGCAGCGCTTGCACGTGCTCGTGGGCAGCGAAAACGGTGTTCATGGCTAAGAGAGCGCCGGCTGGCAACATGGCCGCCACGCTGAGGCTAACGTTGTCAGGTATTTTGATGAGATACTTGAGATCGTGAACGACCAGGTACTCAACGTATCCGTTCGGTATGCCCTCGTAAGGATAGAGGATCACTCGATCACCGACCGTGTACCCGCAATCTTCGGGAACGTTCGCCCCGAGTGACTCGATCACTCCTGCGACTTCGTAGCCGGGGAACAGGGCCGCGTCGCGGACTCCGTGGTGGGGCAACGACACCGGGAAGTCACCCTCCAGAGAGACTTCCGTGGCCAAGCTGCTTCCGCTGGACACGGAGGTTAGGCTGGACAGGCTTGGCGAACGACGAGGATGGTAACAAGCACCCGCGCACATCACACGGATCCGGGCACCGTGAGCCGGCACGTCCGGAACCGGAACGTCGAAGCTGAACACCCATTCACGACCCGTCACGCTCGGGCTGTCGATCGACACCTGCCTGCACAGCTTGTTCATCTTCTTCTCTCTGAAAAGGGAAACGAGAGACTCGAGAATAAAGTGAAGAGCGAAATCTATAGTGTTGTACACGGTGGGCACAAACCTGTTTTTTTTTTCAGGTCCTTTTTTGGGCCTTCATCAAAACATCAAAATACAAGAAATTAATTTCATCAATTTTGAATTGAATTTAAGTTCAAGCTGATGATTTCTTTCAATGTATATTGAAAATTGTTCCTTTCAAATGTTGAAAAGAATGTATGAAACACAATTTCATTGTGTTTTAAAAATTTAAAAATTGTTCCTTTCAAAAGTTGAAAAGAATATATGATAAAAAAATTTATCTTATTGTTAGTAGGAAGTAATTTTTACTATCCATAAAAGTCCACCCTATACACATACAGATATAGATATAGATAGATTGAATATGAAGGAAAACTAATTTCATTAATTTTAAATTGAATTTAAGTTCAAGCTGATGATCTCTTTCAATGTGTATTAAAAATTGTTCCTTTCAAAGGTTGAAAAAAATATATGATAAAAAAAATTACGAATTTATCTTATTGTTAGTAGGAAGTGATTTTTACCATCCATTGCATAAAAATCCACTCTATATAGATAGATTGAATATAAGGAGAAACTAATTTCAATAATTTTAAATTGAATTTAAATCCAAACTGATGATATGTTTCAATGTGTTTTAAAAATTGTTTCTTTCAAATGTTGAAAAGAATTAATAATGAAAGGAAATTACGGATTTATCTTTTGTTAGTAGGAAGTGATTTTTACCACCACTATAGATAGATTGGATCTTTATGCAAGTTTATACTCTTGTGAACTATGTGTATTTTATAAATGTGCAAACATCCGCAGTCTAGAATTCAAAGGAAGAACTTGCAAAATAAATATTCTCCAAATTTGTTTGAGACCAGGAAATTGCAAACGTCGTGTCAAGGGAATTCTTGAGCAGAGGAAATTAGAGGCGGAAACACACCGTTAACTCGAGCCTGAACGTCAGCTGTTGCCTCTTACACAAGACTCCATCGAGATACATTTATAGCTACACACACACACACATAAAATCGAAGGCAATTTTACACTTGCGTATGCTCAATTCTCAAATCTCAATTTTAACAGATAATTCACCGATGAAAGGGATCGGTAAAAGCTCATGCATACCCATTGCAAGGTGAACACGAGTTGTGTGTGACCGGTGCAACTGGTTCCAATTCAACGGGCATTTTTCTTCTGCTTCACTCCTGTCTCACAGCCCTTTCAACTTATTATCAACTTATAAAAGCGCTTCTCTCCCGCTTGTCGTCCTCTAAACTCTCAGTTTTCCTCGAAAGAGGATCTTCGAAACTGTTGAAATTTAAATGTAACTTCTAAGCGGTCACTTCACTTTCCGCTGGTGAAGGATTGAAAGAGAAGTAACGAGGCGAGAGGAGGAGAGCTCCGTTCTGAAGGGAAGAGAAGAGACAGAGGAGTTGTTCGTTCCAGCTCGGGCGCGTAAAACGTACTAGCGAGAACGCGGCGAGGCTCGTTCACTTTTATACCACGACTCGAGCTTTCTCGATCGGGCCTGCGTTAGTCATGGTAGGCAGAAAAGGAGCCGTGGGTAGGGGCGAGAAGAAACGGAACGTGAACAGGTACGAGCATTCGCGCACCACGTGCAACCTCTGTTTTTCTCCTATATCGAACGCCCTCGCGTTCGTCCAGCGTGTCGTGATAGATGCATGAATGAGGCGGAGATAGCTCGTGTTCTTCTTCTTTTTTTTTTTTTCTTTTTTCGACGTCGACTATCATCGGCTGACTCTTCCATTGTTTCTGCTTCTGGAAACCGCGACTCTCGTCCCAACAACACCCGGGCCCTGGGTGTTGTTCTCGGAATTTCCACGTACATTTTGTTTACGAACGATATATATATAT